TAAATTTTATCAAAAAAAAAAATTTAAATGTAATTATTATTTTTGTTATATTTGTTTAATTTTATAGATCTAAATATTTTTTGGTTCAAAAATGGTTTAGAGACTTAATCATTCAAAATATGAATGTTCATTGGGTTTTTTTTCGGACTTTTTTTTATTATTTTACCACATTAACCAGTTGTATAAGTTATAAGAATGTATCTAACAGATTTTAGAAAGTCTAAGAAGTTATATAACATGATTTGGAATGTCCAAGAATTTATTTGTTCCAAAAAATTGTCAAGGACCTAATCATTCCAAACACTAAAGTCCATTGGGTTTTTTTAAATTTACTTTTTTTAAATAAGTGTACACTTTCAAAAATGATTATCTATTTTCTCATTCTACCCTTAATTATTATACGAAAAAAATTATCATTTATTAAAGATAAAATTATAATTTAATTAGAGAATCTCCAACGAATTTTTCAAAAATGAAAAAAAAAAGTAAGATCTTGTACAAAATTTTGCTCCAAAAGAGAGAATGTAAAATTCTCCAAATGAAAGAACTTCCATAAAAAATGAATATCAAGAGAGAAATAACTTAGTAAGATATTTTTATCAATAAAAAACCTTTGATGCTAATTATTTACGAAAGAAAAATAATAATAATTTTTAAATATATAAATTTTTTGAATACTATAATTAATACGTATGTTAAATTTAACTTTTTTTTTTGAGATTTTAAATGTTTATTAAATTTAAAAAGAAAAATCTATCGAAGATAAATTGGGTTTTTGAAAAAGATGAGAATGGGTTCCGAGCTAAAACGTGTTCAATTTCCGTATATTTCCTCAAAATTTATGACATCCTATGAATTTATCAAAAAAGATATTTTAAATATTGACTAATTGTGTATCCGTAGAATATGACGGGAACCGTGAATTTTAACGATTTTGAAGTTTCATTGGTTTTATTAAAAAAGATCTAACGATGATATAAGTTACATTTGGTCTTTATATATTAATACAATTTGAATAAATAAGAGTTATGGTTCCAATTACAGTCTATCGATGAGAAAAAATTGTATGACAGTTTAAAATCCAATATATTTAAAATCCAACATATTTAAACGACTCCATAAATGTGTTCGATTTACACAAAAAACAAAGAATCAAGAGATCGAGAGCGAGATCGAGAGTTCCAGAATAATTGAATGGAAGATAAATGAGAGAACTTTTTATAACTAATGGAGAATATTAGTTTGAATCTCATCTTGGGGGACGTGAAAAAGACATAGAGGTATGAGAGGGTGAAGACATAGATAAAATGTGTTAAAAGTATCTTGAGAACATGAAAAGAAAAGATAATAATGTGTATTGATAACTTGTAATATATGTTATTTAATTTTAGATTAAGAGATTTTAAGACTGAATACATCAATTAGTAGTACTTAATGTATTATAAGTTGTTTTTAAGACTTTATGCGTAAATATATAGTAATTTATGCATTAAAAATTATTTTTAAAATTTTTGATAAATCTGGTTTACAAGGTAAGTACAAGGTAATATAGAATATGGATATAGATATTTAACGGAAAAAAATATTAATTAGAAACCCAAATGATTTAAAAGTTTTGAATGCCGTTAGCAGTGTTGGGCCACATTTGAAGCCCTTTTTATTCAAAGAGAAAAAAGAAACAGTAGCGACCACCCTCCATTTGAAATTCAAAGCTTCTACCCAACTCCCATCCTCTTTAATTTCTCTCACTTATCTCTTTCAACGGTCGAATTCATTAGCCATCTCTCTCTCAATTTCAGTAACTTTCTTCTTGCAAATCTGCTCCAATTCAGGTTTGTTTTTAAGATCTGAATTGTTGTTTCTTCTGTTTGTTCCTTTTTTTTTATGGGCTGATCCTTGTAAACTTTTCTGCTTCAGCTTCGTTTGACTGAATGTGTGTTTTTGCCTACATGTGTAGTAGAGATTTAAATTTAGGGTTTGAATTTTATGACGATTAATTGGCCATCATCAGCTTTAATTGAATGGATGTGTGTTCCTTTTGCTACTTATTTACCGATTTATATGTTTATTATGCTTAGATCCTGGCATCCAGCAGATGAAAGACACTGGTTTCATGTCAGATTATATACTCCCTCTGTTTTAAAATGGTACAGTAAAAAGAAACAGAAAAGATATCTAGCTTTGAATTTCAACATGATGTGAATTTTCAAAATTTCAAGTTGCTTACTTCATCAAAATCCTTAATATATAATACAAACATAAAAGAAACTGAGGTTTAGATTGTAAGATATCCATGCTTGTTCTTAACTTGAAAGGGCTAGTTTGACCTGAAATTATTATGAAACTGAAGGAATAAATTTCTCCAAATTGAAATGACCATTGTGTGAATTGTAATGTCTCTTGGCAGAAAATTGCCTGCGGGTAAGTAGGTCTCCCCGGAGTTGGTGTATATGTTGCTCTAGATTTGTTTAACTTTATGTTGGTCTGCGATGTCTGAAGTTTTTGAGAAGATCTAAGCAAAAGAATTCATGTTGAGATGTTTTCCCCCAAACCTAACTTATTTCAAAATTTAACATTAAGATAGATTATATTTCTAAGTTACACTTCCTTCAAAAAGACTAGATAAAATTATTTCTAAGTTCCACTTCCTTTAAAAAGACTAGATTATATATCTAAGTTCCACCACTTCTTTAAAAAGACTAGATTTCTATGATCCACTTCCTTAAAAAACTAGATTATATTTCTAAAGATCCACTTCCTTAAAAAGACTAGATTATATTTCTAAGATCTACTTCCTTTAAAAAGACTAGATTATATTAACAAGATCCACTTTCTTTAATAAGGCTGAATAAAAAGACTACATTTTAAGGTCGATTTGATTTTTCTCCCTCCTCCCTTGGAGATGGATGGACTAATGAAAATGTGGTGTTGTTATGTAAAATCCTCATCTTGCTCATCATGTCCATCATCAGTAGTATAGGGTACATGGGTCCAAAGTTTGCTTTTTTCTGTTTGATATCCTATTTAACTAATCAATTCAGAAGTGTGGTCTCAGAATGTCTACTCCCTCAAAGGATCCACTTCTGCAAGTGGAAACGACATGCGGATCCCTTCTTTATGAGCTTCAGGTATTCTTCTAGAGCATTTTAATTTCTAGCTCATGGCATGGTATTGCTCAATCGCAGATTTTTAGTTAAATATTGGCAATTTGTGTGCAAATTGTGTAATCAGATTATATGGGATGAAGTGGGTGAGTCCGATGTTGAAAGGGACAAGATGCTGTTAGATCTTGAAAGAGAATGTCTTGAGGTATACAGAAGAAAAGTAGATTCTGCAAACAGGAGTAGAGCTCAACTAAGACAAGCAATTGCTGATTCTGAAGCAGAATTAGCAGCCATATGTTCTGCTATGGGGGAGAGGCCCGTGCACATTAGGCAGGTAATAAATTATTGTAAAATGGTTTACTTTGGGAAAACTTAACAGAATGATTTATTCTTCCTTTTTCTTAAATTATAATTTTGACAAGCAGTAGTACTACTTCTGAAGCTCATTATGATCATTTCACTATCACAACTTATGCTGATCTTATTAGCCTTGAGTCTAGAATACAAATTACTAGTACTGATGACACTAGTTATTTGCATGTAGACATAGAGGTAAAGGTGATACAGCAAACTTCATTTTATACGTTAATCTCCATCCATACACATGGATTGCTCCCAGAGTCGTTATTACACAAATAACTGTCTGTAGTATGGACATGTTCTCAAAAATGGCTTTATGACCGTGCTACTTTTTCAGTCTGATCAGAACCCTGGGAGCCTGAAGGCAGAGCTCAGAACCCTTCTTCCGGAACTAGAAGAGATGAAGAGGAGGAAATCCGAGAGGAGGAATCAATTTCTTGAAGTCTTAGAACAGATACAGAAAATACAAATAGAAATCTATGCAACTTCTTTAAAGACAGTATTGGATGAGACTGACCTGTCTTTAAGAAAGCTTGAAGAACTTCATGTACAGCTGCAAGCACTTGAAAAGGAGAAGGTAATTTTATTTTCTTTAACATGAAATTTACCAAAACAATAATGCTTGAGTTTGTTCTTTCTAGTAAATAGATTACCAGTTACTTATCATTGCTTCTAAATATCCAGAGTGATCGCCTTAAGCAAGTTCTAGACCACATGAACACCTTAAATTCGCTGTGCTTGGTGCTCGGAATGGACTTTAAGCAGACAATTCATGATATAAATCCTAGTTTAGCAGAAACCAAAGGATCAAAGAGCATAAGCAATGATGTGATTGGGAGGCTTGCAGCTGCTATAGAAAGATTTAGAGAGGTCAAAATGCAGAGAATGCAAAGAGTAAGTAGAGGATTGGAAATGAACTAATAAAGGCACCCTCATGGTTTTTATGCTGACTTTATAATTTGTCAAATTTTTGTTAGATTCAAAATCTTGCAACCTCTTTGTTAGAGCTTTGGAATTTGATGGATACACCGGTTGAAGAGCAACAGATGTTTCAGAGTGTAACCTGTAACATTGCTGCTTCAGAGCAGGAGATAATGGAGCCCAACTTGCTAGCTGTTGAGTTCATTAATTATGTAAGTTATGGTGTTTAGATTAGTTGGGGAAGTTCAAATGAGAACAATAAATATTTTGAGAGCATGAGAATGAACTATTTCATGTAGTATTCATGATGATTAACCCTGAATAATCATGAATATTATTCATCATGAAAATCATATTTTTTCATAATTCATGATATCATGCATTTTCATCATCAATATCATCATGTATTTTCATCATGAATATCCATCACGATATTCATTATGAATAAAGCATGAATAGCCAAAGTTCCCTATATATTTATGGTACTCATTTGAACCTTTCCCTAGATTAGTTCTTTCCCTAGATTAGTTGTCCAGAGGTATAATTAATTAAGTTATGGAGAAAGTAGAGACTCTAATCTGTTTAGTGTTAAAGGTTGAGGCAGAGGTGTCACGGCTAGAAGACTTGAAGTCTAGCAAAATGAAAGAACTTGTTTTCAAGAAGAGATCTGAGTTGGAAGACATTTGCAGGAAGACCCGCTTGCTTCCAGAATCTGATAATTCAATGGATATTGCTATTGAAGCTATTGAATCTGGTATTATGCAATGTTTGTACTCTGAAAAAAAGGATATTACTAAGAACAATTAGATTGAATATTCACTAATGAATATTTTGCTTTTCTGAACAAAGGAGCTCTTAACCCTGCTAGTCTCCTCGAACAAATCGAGCTTCAAATCGGGAAAGTTAAAGAGGAAGCTTTTAGCAGAAAAGAAATACTTGAGAAAGTTGAGAAGTGGATGGCTGCCTGTGAAGAGGAGTGCTGGCTGGAGGAGTATAACAGAGTTGATCTTCTTTCTTTGCTATTAATATTATCTTGTTTACTTTCGATGCATACCCAACTAAAAGAATTGTTCTTTTTATCTAGGATGATAATCGGTATAATGCTGGAAAAGGTGCTCATCTTACTCTAAAGCGTGCAGAGAAAGCTCGCGCTTTGGTTACTAAACTTCCAGGTAAATCCTCAGTTCTGTGTGAATCTAACAATGCAAATACTTCTAGTATGTGTTAGTGATAAAAACATTGCAGATTGAAACCACCCTTGATAGTTAATTACCAAAATATTTGTTTTCCCATCTAACACGGGCCTGAGAGAGGGAGTAATATATTGCAAAGCAGCAAGGTGACCAATAACCTCCAAATCAACTTAACACAATGATAGAGATTATCGGTAGCCCACAACTTAAAGGCTTATAAGGACCTCACAAATCTTATTTTCTATCTATATGGGATGAGTTGTCACAGTTTGCTTTCAAGAATATTAGGGAACTTGCTTGACCATTGTAGTTTGATTTTCATTTATCATTTTGGAACAGGAATTGTAGATGCATTAGCTGCAAAAACAATAGCATGGGAGAATGAGAGAGGCACTGAGTTCACTTACGATGGAGTAAGAAATTTTGAATTCTGCCTATAATCTCAAGATTTCTGTTAGTTCCAGCCTTTCTTGCTAATGAATCCGTCATATGCAGATCCGACTTCTGTCCATGCTTGAGGAATACAAGATCTTAAGGCAAGAAAAAGAGGAAGAACGAATACGACAAAGGGTATGATATCAAAGCTTTCATCAGTTTATTGGTTTCCTGTTATACAAATCTTGTTCAGTCAAAGACTTTTTTATGTTTTAGGACCAGAAAAAACTTCAGGGACAACTGATAGCAGAACAGGAAGCCTTGTTTGGGTCAAAACCAAGCCCAATGAAGCAACAAAGTGGTAAAAAGGGGCCTAGAATGTCATGTGGTGGTGCAAGTAACAGAAGACTATCATTAGGAGGAGCTATGCATGCACCTAAAGCAGATCCTCATTCCATTAGAGCTACGCCAAATACCCGTCAGACCAAAAAGAATGAGCGGCAATTAAATAAAAGGGAGGATGGATTTGCAGCCCTTTCAGCCGGTACATTTCTCAATCACTCCACCTCCTGCTTTTTAGTGTTGGATGACTTCTAATAATTCTTTTCCTTTTTTGGGTAAACAAGTGCAAAATGCTGCTTAAAAAACCATAAAATCTTGATCCTAAGACCATAATTGAGCTTATAAGCTAGCTTATTTTTTGAGCTTATTGAAAAAGCCCCATTTGGTTGAACATAAGCGAGGTTTTCGAAAAGCTATTTCAAGTAGCGTTTCAATAAGCTCCCAGAGATCTTTTTCCCAATAATGCCCCTTGTATTTCCAATTCAATTTTCAGCATGTTCTCTTACAAATAGTTTTTACCAAACATAATGACTAATTTATCAACTAGCATATCAGCTAACAACTAGTGGTGTATCAACTAGTTTGCTAAGCATGGCCTAAATATTGGCCCATGAACTTTAGAAATTGTATTTGCATTCACTTTCATCCTAGGATGACCAGGAGATCTATTTTACTCCTTGAATTTCAATTAACTATTTCTTTCATTCTAACCGGTTAAGCATCAACAAGCAAACAAGAGGGTAAAAAGTAAAAAATATATGTAATTTCAAGTTTATCATTGATGTAATGTTGACCTCTCGGGAACTTATGGATTTAGTTGATTTTAGACCAAAGTTCTAACCAAATCATAATCTTTAGGTCAATCTACATTTAGAAACATTAAATTTGAAGGTTCTTTTTGTAACCCACATCTTCATTTATTTCTTATTTGAATTGTATCAGGGAGGAGAGGTTTGGACATAGCAGGACTTGCTGCTAGTAGAAAACATTCCCTTAGTGAAGTTGAACCATCGCAACCAATCTTCCGCAAACCCTTCTCTCCCATTTCTTCCACAGAATCATCAAAATCTTTGTTAGAAGACTTCAACAGAAAACACGAAATGTTGCAGAAAACTTTTCAAACCAGCAGCAACAGCACCCCTTTTATTACTCCTTCCAAAATCACATTATCTGCCACAGAAGATGAAAACAGAACTCCTAAAACAAACATGATCCCATTGGTACCTTCCACACCATCAACTGTATCTGTTCCAATGCAGACTGTGGCAACGCCTGCGCCTTTAGATTGTCTGAATCAGATTAAGGAGACAGTTCCTGAAGAGATAATCGAGTACTCTTTTGAAGAAAGAAGAGCTGGTTTTGTGCTTCCTATAGCACATTTGAAAACCATTATTGCAATTTAATCTTGTCATCCACTTATTGAACTTGGATTTAAGTTTCTTTATTGTTGTTATAAACACTGATGCTTTAAAGTCAATTGTAATTGGCTTTTTGACAAAAAAAAAAAAAAATTATGTGTATGATCAGCCTGCAAGAGCTTGCTTTTTATGGTCTTGGTGTTTCTTATAAAATTTAAGATCTTGGGTATGATCTTTCTTGGAACTTCCTTTACAGAAACAACTTCTTGAGTAAAGGTCAGGTATATATGTACATTCCCATTCAGCATTTGGTTTGGTTATATTGTGCAAGTGTTTGATGGGGATGTTAGGAAATGGACAGATCTTCCATATTTGCATGGTTGAGGTCTGGTTATTCTTTTGTGCAATTTGAAATTGACCCCACCAATCCAATTGGAATTTGCCACCAAACAGCATCTTGTGATTATACTGAATAATGAAATGTAGCAGTTGAACTGCCCCCAAAATAAATTGTTTAGTTTTGTACCTTCAAAACCAGACCATAAGATGTTTTTAGCGTCAGTTTTGATTTAAGTCCCGTTTTCTAATTGAGGGCAGTTTAGCCTTGATCCGAGCCGACTAAACCAAACCAAAGTAGCCGAGAGTGAGTAGGGGTGTGCATGGTGCCCGGAGCAGAGCTACTGATTCTGTAAAGACCCGACTTACCAAACAAAAAGTAGAGTCATCTTGATAAGAATTGATATATTAACAATCAAAAATCAAACTACTTTTTGACTTTTGACCTATAAACAAGTAGACTGAGTCAAAGAAGCAAGAGATGAATTCAGTTTTTCAGCCTTCCAAATTCTATTGGTTTTGTTAATGAATTCTTCCACTCTTCTTCTGAGTTCATCATCATCATCTTCATCTTCTTCTTCCGATGAGTTAGAGTCATCGGACGAGTTGTGAACATCGATGGACACATTGGCAGCAGTCTCTTCAGGAGTTGGAGTGATTCTTTCGAAGCTTCTGTTTTGGTTGATGGAAGGTGGTGGAATAGTAGTGATTATGTGATCAGAATTAGAAGTGGGTTGGAAGCTAGCAAGAATGAGAACGACGATGATGAGATTACAGAAAAGGAAGATGAGATGTGGGTTTGAAGCTGCAACAGTCATCAGTTCATATGCCAATTCAAACATGGTGAATTTGTGTGTGTGTGTGAGTGAGAGAGAGAGAGAGAGAGAGAGAGATGGGTTGATGTTAATTGGGAAAGAAAGATGAAGAATTTATAAGCATCAAGAAGTGTGTGCTGTGTAAGCTTTTGGATAGTCATGGTGTGGTGTGAAAGCTAACGAGGACTTTCCAAATTGAATATGGCCTTTTTAAATTAATTAATTGATTATTTTTTAAAGGATTAAATAATTAATTTTGGATGATCGGATTTATATTAGTTGGAGTTATAAAGATGTATAAGCATCGCTTAGAATTTGCTTTCAATGGTTAAACAAAATTATTTACCCGTTTAAATAAAAAATTAGACCCAACAATTTTAACCGATTATTAATATAAATAAGATTATTTATTTACCCCCCTTATTTATGTGATTTTAGTTTTTTTATCCACATTTATCAATCATATTCAACAATATATAAAATATAAATTCTTTGATTATAATTTCATAAATAATCATAATTTGTTACCTTAGATGACGTTTGTTCTTTAAAATGTGCTGAAGTCTAAAGTCTGATTTCACTTTTAATTTATAAAAAATGGTTCTAAAGTCTGAAATTCGGATTAATAAAATTGATTGTTTTTACATCTGATCTGCCGTTTGAATCGGTCAAATTAGTACACAAATATAAAAGATAATTTTTTTTATAAAAGTATAAAAAATGAATAATTTTTGCTAACAGATCTATTCCAGCCTCCAAAATATAAGCCATTTGATAAATGATGGATTAGAATTAAGAGATATTAACGGATACGTTTATCATTTAAAATTTCAAAAGACATTTAGAATTTTAAAGTATTATTCTAGAAATAAAATATTAAAAGTACATAGGAAAAATAAACTTGTAAAACATTGATTAATGGTTTTCATTTTATTATTTAGACCAAGCGTCAACCGTCAAGGATTAAAATAAAATATAGACTTGATTGGTGAAGCTTCTATCCACGAGACGTTGACGCAGTCACAATGAGGAGTTGGACTTGCAACTAATAATATCCAATACAACTAGATGTTTGGTTTAATCATTTACTTAACCCAGAATCAAGTCTATATTTTACTTTCTAATATTTCTCACAAATAAATATTTAGCATTTTCCTATTTTCCCCCATTTCACAATCTTTCTGCTAACCACACATTTGTTTTACAATCTGTATCTATTTATATTATTTTATAAAGCATTTGGTTAAAACTCTTAAAAACTCTTAAACTTGTTCATCCCAAAATGATTTCATCCCTATCCAATTTCATCTCATATCTGAATTCGTGTAACTAACTGCAGATAAACACAATCAAATACAGGATAAATATCTCATTTTAAATATAAAAATTCTAAAATATAATCAGTATAATCATTAAATTCTAACAGAATACTTAATTATTATCTTTATAAAATTTATAATATTAAACCATAATAAACTTAAATTATATATAAAAATATATATATTCTATATTATAAATCATTTGACAAAAGTTCTTAAAAACCATTTTTTATGCGTAAAGTACTGTTTATTAATGTATATTACTTAAAACTCAAGATTACAAGTAAATTGTACGTATGTACAACTTATTAAAGCTCTATATCTGAATTCGTATAACTAACTGCGGATAAGCACAATCAAATACAGGATAAACATCTCATTTTAAATATAAAAAATCTAAAATATAATTAGGATAATCATTGAGTTCTAACAGAATACTT